AAAGACCAGATATTACCCGTTTTCCCGATCTACCACCTTCTATGAATTTGCCTTAAACCTTTTCTACAGTGGGGCTATCTAAGGCAAGACGAATAACTGCTTAGTTTCCTTTTATAGCACTTCTTTCAACGAAAGACTACTACATAATAAGTATAATTACAGAAGACCAAGTAGCATAAATAAAAATTTAATCATGACAACTTGAAGCTAGTAAAATAATGCCTGAAATAGGGAAATTCTCAAATGATACAGCGTACTATTTCCAATTAAAGTAAAATACATCAACTCGAGAATCTCGAAAAGTACATGCAAGCTTACCCATCAAATCACCCATTGGATGGTAAATCTTCACCTGACCAAAGTCCCTGCATATACGGAACAGGATATAAAAACGACCTCTCGTCATACACAACCTTCTCTAGAAAAAGACCTCCCGCAGGAGCAGGTTTAAATCCGTAGTTATGGAACTTTTGGGGACACGGATCAGCCAACAATGATTTAAAAACCTCCAAAGTAATATATCCATAAGAATAGGCTACTAACACAGAAATCATTCGGCGAACCTGAAAGACATGAAGTTACTCAAGTTTTTTTAGGCATGCAACAAAAAAAAATTATTACAAAATTTCTCAAGTAGAAGCTTTGTAAGCAAGAAAATTATAAAGGCAGAAAAATTATTACTTTGAAATATTACTGTCAGTATTTTATATTTTTTATAATAGAAATAAACTAAAAAAAAAAACAAGATTTTGGGGAAATCTATAGCACGTTACACAAAATAACTTATGAAAATGAATGAGGCTTTTAAAGATCGTTAGCACCTGTTGCCGCAAAAAAGACTTTGCTACTATCGTAACTTCATAACAGTCAAACCCGTCATCACCGGCATACTTAGAATGACCTGAAGTAATGGCAAAGTAGGGGATGCTACGAATCTAATCTTTAATGCAAATATTTAAATGATACGACATTTCTCTGTAACACTTAAGGAAAAAGAAAGAGAGCATATGTTGCAGTAAAGTAAGACACTTTTAAAATAAAAATAAAAATAAAAAATAATCTTTTTCAAGTAAATTTTTACCGGAATCTATACTGAAATATTGAATCTTTCTGGTGGTAGATGGAACCACCAAATCCTTCATCTTTTCCTTAGAAGGGTATTTCATAAACGAAGCAAAATTATGCGTATCCTGTAAGAAAAAGTATTGAAATACTTACAGAACATGAAATCACAAGCGGTAATTTGAATACAAAATCTCGATAAAGATAATAAGACTTCTGAGGAATCAAAAAACTACTTGGAAGAAACGACAGGCAAATGAAGCCTTGTAGGGATCAAAACCACTACGCAAAATCCAGGAATAATTTTTTTCTGCGAAAGAGGTCAGAGAAGCCGATCTTCCCATTTCCCAAGCAATTTCGTTTTGAGCGACAAGGAGTCTATATTTATATTCTCTAAAAATAAATATTATACAGGTCACTAAAAAACACAACAACTTCATTTTTGTATTAAAAACCACGACTGCATCATACCTATAGAGTGCATGTCGTCTAACACAGAATCCATCTGAAACAGCTCTAACATCTAAGATGTTTAGGCAACCAGGAAGGCAGTCTGTAGCAAGAAAGTTTAATTGCGTTAACAGTTCTTCCTTATTACTGCCAATGCCTTCCGCCGGTACTTGAACGCAAAGGGCATTACTATTTGCATGAACACCACTGTCTGTCCTTTGAAAAATAAATATTAAATCTTTCTGGTGATTCTTGCATAAGTCTAGAATTACACTACCAAAAAGAAAACAGCCACTTTTTTCAGTATATTTGATTTTTATGGAGAGCAGCTGCTAATTTTAATACGGCCCCATCAAAATTGGTGTGAACTTGAAAGGAAATATTTAAACATATATACAAGAAAATGAAATTTAGATGCTACCTACTAGACTGTGTTGCTTTCACTATTTCACTACTGTTTGGAAATATTCGGCGCAAAGCAGCAACAATAAATCCAACGACGCTATTCCCATTTTCAATTCCAGCTACTCCTGTAAACTTTGAACCATCATAAGAAACCCACAAAAGATATCGTCGATAGGCTGAAGATGAGCCACCCAACATAAATATCCGACCTGTAAAACCGTTAGTAACCACTCAAAAACTATGTTGGTAAAATCTGTCGCTAAACATAAGTAGTTAACTTTTCTTCGCCCTGCTACTTGTTAGCTAACACAGCATGTGAAAGGCAATGACGGTGATCAAATTATCATGTCGCTATCCTTCTTATAACAAGTGGCAGGGCGAAAAAGTGCAATATAAGGAAAGGAAGTGGTAAGAGGAATGCGAGACGTCAAATAGAAGACAAAAAGACTTGAAAATTCCAAAAGCCAACCTTCAATAAAATTTGTTAAAGTACCTTATAGGAGTGAATCAATGACAATGGAATGTATCAAACACTAGAAAAAGGGCACATATCCAAATAAGAATTTCAAGAAGTATTATCTTAGCGAGCAATTCTGTTTCTCGTTAAAACTGTCATATTCTAACAGACAGCACAAATTTTGTCCTTTCTTGCTAGTTCCGTAGCTTCAACTACACCCGTCTGCAAACCTTCTTAACAACTGCGTGTTTTCAAAATGCACACAAAAACAGAAACTTCAACCTTTACAAGATTTCGCAATTTCCTGAGCACGTGAGATTGTACACTTCCTACATCGCACTACTCTTTAGACTTTAAGAATTATTATACAGCTTCGTTATGCTATTCTATCATTTCAAGAAAGTAATAAATTCGTCAAATTACAACTAACGACAAATAAGCCTTACATTTCTAATGCCTGTTTCGTAGAAGAAAGATAATTTTTCAAAAAAATGCTAATTTTCAGACCAGGAATTGATGTTCGGCAACAAGAAATTCAAGCAAATCATAAAAGCAAACTTAATACTGTCATTTTGAACATAAGGCTAAATACTGATCTTCTATTCAGCACACACTTATGCATCCAAGAATGCAAGAAAATAAATCGAAGACTAAATCCAAACACTTTCTCCTTTGAATCCTTCATGTCCTGTGACACAGAAATGAATTATAAGGTGAAATTTCACCACTGCACTCAAAAGAAATTCATCTTCTACGCCTTGTTTGCACTCTAACGGTTAAAAAAGTCAAGAGAGATTATATGGTTTTAAGCAACTCACGATCCACGACCGATTGGAACCAAAAAGACGCTTTCAATGGCAGACCAGAAACACTACTTCAAAATGTAAACGAAGGATGCTTATACGCATGAATTTGTCCTCATCTTCGTGAAGACGTCAGCATCAAATGGACTAAATAAAGCCCAAACTCCTGCCTCGTTTTGACTCTTTCTTGTTACAATGTTATAAGTTGATTTTCCTCCTTTTAACCTTTCCCAGTTAAAAACGCCCTTGAATCATTAGTCTTAAATAAAGCAAAAGAAGAAGATTGAACTAGAGAAAAAATTAGAAGGAAATAATATTTTCAAATCCAAGTCAACGTAAAAAGCAACTTGCCTGAGTATAAGAAATGTGGATAATCAAAAGTTTAGAGTTCGAAATGGCCACCGTTAACTTTAAACGTCCCCTGTTTGCAGACCAAAACTGCAAACGATTCAACCAGAAAATAATTAAGAAATGCCAGTCTACAACTATACACTGATTAGAAATTGGATTTAATAAGATATTACTTATAAACTTAATTAAGCTCGCTATAAAGCTAGAAAGCTTGGAGGAAAAGCAAAAATGATCTGAAGCAATTAATGCATCGATAAACCAAACTGACAGGGAAATAGAACGAACAGAAACTGCATTACTACCGTGCAAGTACTATAATATAAGTTAAAGTATTCTTGCTAGATCATCTGTATGCTTACACAGTTTAACCTCACCTTCCCGTAACAGAAACAACACTGTCTTAAAAGTTCCAGGTCACCTACTTTCAAATGCAAAATTTATAAGTTTTGTGCTCTAAACGCAAATAATCTAGTGATCTAAAAATTGGTTACCACAGTTTTGAGGGAAAAAGAAAGTTATAATGAAAACCTGACCTCTAACTCTAAGAAGATACCAATTTCAGCATTCAACGAATCGGGTGTAAAGAAACCAATGATATAAATACCTAAGGAAACGGTGAAGGATTGCAGATTCTTGTAGAGTTCCTGAAGTTATCAATGGGACTTAAGCGATCCCCATATTCCTATATCGACAATCTTGAAAATTGGCAGATTGTCAACAGACAAGTTGTTACTCAATGAATAGTTCAGGTAACTACGGTAATCCTTTGGATTACATGGATCCACAATCAACACGATTAATTAAACAGTATCGGTTGTCATCATCCGGTAAACCGTATACTAATCATTCTACAAATCCTTTGTTCGGTCATTAATGTATACCGCTGACACTTCATCATCTATTATCAAATATACAGTTTACGAAAAGTACACAAAAAACCTTAATTCCACATTACAGTTAACAATTTTGTCATATAATTCGTATCTCTTTGATCACAATTATTTGAACAGTAAAATTTTGTATGCATAAATAGTTGCTGGCAGTATATGAAAAGGCGAAAAATTTATATTGTCTGCTAATGACTAGGTGTGATTTCTTTTCATGATACTTACTGTTCATGTGTAAATTAGAGCAGATTTGTATCCCGTTCCTGACATTTTGCATATTTTTTTGACCAGTAAAGTTTAGAGTTGACAAAAATTGTAGAAAATCAAAGGCAGGAAGTGATTATAGGTTTCCTAAACGTTCTGTTTCTTTCAATATTATAGACAAAAAATAAGTGTTGTACTGTTCTCTGTTTTAGAAAAATTAAAGGATACTTTTTACGTGTTATCATTATGATAAACAATGAGTGTTGAATTATCTTAAAACCATATGAGTTTTTTCATTAAATCACAGGAAGTAAATATTTATTGAAAAGACGAGGAAAAATTTCCGGCTACAGATGTAGCAAAAAAAATTTCTTTTTTCACATTGCACATATGTGATTTTTTTGAATTTAAATATTTTGAAAGTTTTTCAACTATTTACTGTACGTTGCCGATTGTTTGTTTCTGCACAAGGTAATTATCATCTCGTTGTCGATGAAACCTCTAATAGATGCTTAACTTTCGGTTATAATGCTGCAGATTTGGCTCTTATACCACTGATCATCGGACAAGTGATGCACTAACAGTTTGGTGAGTATAAGAACTGTTTCGAGAATTTCATCTATACAAGGTTTTCTTGAAATAGTTGTATTTTTACATGATCAGCATTCAGCTTCTAATATGAAGATGATAAATTTGATACTAGTGATGGTAAGAAAAAAAACAATTAATAACAACAAGGATAATACAGATAGATCTTGTGACTTCACTGCACCAACAAATTAAACTTTTTTGTCAAGTTAGAAGTCATATTTCACGTAAAAGAAACTATATAAAAGTATTTCTGTACTGCACAGTCAATTAATTTAAGACACCTGTAAATTTGAATGCAAAAAGCAGCTAATATTACGTGTCAGTTAATAACTGTTGTTAGCTTCTATAATCTGTCCTGCAAGAAAACAAATATGCTGTTACATAACAAGATTTCTTGTTAGTATGCTGCTCAAGGAAAGCTTCAATTTTTCATTGAACCAAATACATTGATTACATTTATTAGTACAGACTTTACTCTTATCAGGTTACATTTTATTGTGGGAAAGAACAGCTATCCTTATTGATTCAAATTATAAACTGGTTCAAAGCAATATTTGTAGACAGATTATCTGTTAAATACTCATTACCTTTACCCACTTTATCGCAGCAACGAAATTTGATATATGCATTTTGAATGGGTGTTTTGGGTGGCAAAAAATTTGAAAATATTACCAGTACCAATTGTCGGTTTATAAAGCTTTTTCATTTTTAGATGGTTACCAGTTTTTTCTTAAGAGCAAATTACAGCAACTAATAAAATTGATACGATTTATACTGAGCAATAAAGTGTGATTTTTTAAATAGATTAATTCTAGGAACTATTTCAATTATGAATTCTTTACCAAAACTGTTTAATGCATGATAAATACTGAACTGTTAACACAGTGTTTTCTACTTTTTTTTGGTTTATTAACTGTGTGATCAGTATTATTAGCTTATTGATATATAACTACCATAACTATCATACTGTCATTAGTAATGACAAAAAATGAAGTATCTTTTAATATGGAATCATTGATAATTTCTTTTTTTGTTTCGCTGCCGTATCTTACAGAGTCAAAAAATTATCTGCTGGTAGCAAAGCAGTAAATTGAATTGTTTATTTGAAAAAAAAAAAAAACACTAAATAAATGTTTGAAAAGATAATCGTTTTATTAATAAATACATCGTTTTTGTTTCTTGATAATATCAACAAAAACAGAAAAAGTTCCTTTCCAAAAAAAGTGGGAAAAAAGTATTTCATCAGTTGATCCTAATTAAGTTCACAAAATAATTTCAAGTTAATATTAACGTCAGTGATGCAAAAAAAAAAGAAAGTGTTACGATATTTTTTTAAGTTATATATATATCTATTCGTTGCTGTTGTTTTTTCTATCAACCGTTCTGTTTATTTATGCACAAATATTAACAAGAGCACGTTTATTTTCTAATATATTACTGGAAAAAAAAAAGAATTTTTTTTTTTTTTTGCTTAAATACCCACTATCTTGTTCTTCTGATAACTGATTAAACAATTAACAGCTACACACACACACACAAACGCGAAGTCGTCGAAGCATAGAAATTTTATTTTTTGAAAAGCAACATGATTTAGTATTATGCATGAGTACAAATGAATTTTTTATGTATGTAGAAGTTGTATGTTTTGACTGATACCCAACTATACCTTTTTGCCTGGTAGTTGTCATCATTTTTATTGGGTCATTCATATGCACATTTCAACTTGATAGCCTGTTGCTTGGTACTATTGTTGCTAGTGATGTTGATATCTGACCATGAGAATGATTATAATGACGACAATGACGATAATGATGATGATGATGATGATGATGATGATGATG